ATTTGAAGAATAACTTAGCATGCCTTACAATACTCAAAGCAAGAAAACTAAAAATAAATATTAGAATAAAGATGAACTATAAACAATGTTGAAGGTGTGGCAACCTAGTAAAGTGAATAGGTTGTCAACCTCCAAGTGACAAGTCTAGAGTTCAAATCCTAGTGATAGTGAAAATTTGCAATTCTTTCTGTGTTATAGCTAACTGTCTTCCATGATTGGTTGGGATAGGATACCTGTAACCTGTGCTATACTAGCATAACTAGAAGGTTTAAGCACTTGTACAACATTGTACAAGAAAATACAAACCAGTACTGGGCAGTATGAATCCAAGATAAGTCTTTAGACTGTTAAATCACAGGAACCAGATAGAAAGATGAAAACCCACTTGGAAGACCTGAGTAAAGAAGTAATCTAAACCTTTGATGGTGCTACTGTAAAAACTAAACTTATAAAATAGAGCTAGGATTTGTGAAACTGGGCAAATATGCTGGTCTTTGAGGAAGGACCAGATGAACCAACCAGGCCACCAGAATTTCTAGATTTCAGAAGAAAAGGATACATGCTGGCAAACATGTAAACCAGAGGTATGATCTCGCTCTATCTTTTTGAGCTATCTGGAATGGCAGCTTGATGAAACTAGAATTGAATACCAAAGTAGTAAGAATATGTTGTAAAGTTAGTACTAGAGTTAGGATGAACTCTACAAAGGCATAGCAGTTTAATAGTACACTCTGACCACCAGTGTTGGTCTTGGTCATAGTAATACCAGGTCAGCTATAAGAATAAGATACAGAAGATTTTGGAAGGTTTAGTACAAGATCAAAGGTTTTCTATATGAGTGAACTGTTTTAAAGACTTAGTGGCCATAGCATATTTTCACTGACATTGGCCAGGATCATTGATAGGCAAAAGTAGGTGGGTGGATACAGAAACAAAGTGGTTAAATAGGAAACTTACAAGTGGGTTTCAGATATGGCAGCTAGTGTAGAACCTTTGGGTGAACTACTTAAATTAGACAATGACTAAAGTTGTACGAGTGACTAGTTGTATACTTTCTTCATGGTTGTCCCTTGTGGTTGTAATACAACTATTAGTCAAATATACTATCAATAAAATCTTGAATCACAAATACTCATCTTAATATTTTTTTAAAAAAAAAAACTATGAACAATGTTTGAATATGGTACTAAAATACAAGAACTGATAGATATACAATTGTAAAAAAAAGAAGCAGTTAGAGTAAATGAAACTGGTCTAATATATCTAAATCAACTACTCGATACAAGAAAAGAGAAACTAATTACATAGTAGCAACTAAAAAGCTATTAAGACCAATCAAATAAAGAGAAAAAAGCAGAATAGTTCAAAGTAATTAAATCAAAAGTTCTTAGCAACCCAGAAAATAGCATAGTACAAAAATGCTTTAGAATGAGTGGACAAAACACTCAGGCAATGCAAGTCAAATAGAGGCATATATCAGAAGATAGAAGAAAGAAAGAATAGATAATATATAGCACATGAGACTACAAACAGCTCAGAAAATTGGTTAAAAAGAAAAAGAAAAAAGTATTAATCAAACATTGACAAATGAAATGCAAAGAGAATGAAGTAACAACTAAGATCAACAGATGTAAAGAATGTATAAGTAAAAAAGAACAGATAGAAAACAGTTGTCAGCAATAAATAAGATTAAATAAAAACATTCATATAATTTCAGATAGATTAATAAGAAAAAGCAGCAATTAAATTAAAATAACAGTAGACCAAATAATAGACAAAACAAAAATGAACAGATCAAAAATAATTGAATGCAAACTAAAGGGTCTTATAATAATAGAAGAATAGAAATAGAAATTATTAAACAATAAAAATTGAAAAGAAATATTAGCCAAAAAATAATAGAAGTTCTAAAAAGAAACATTATAAGAAACAAGAACAAATATATAATATACACTGATGATGCAACTAATGAGAGAGATAATAAAGAGCTAATGTCTAAAAACAATATAGATATAGGATGGGTCTAAACAAATGAAATGCAAAAATGGCCAGAAGAAGAATTAGTATTTGAACTAGAAAGATGGCAAACATCAATGATAGCAGAATTGATAGCAATTTGAACAGCAATTCTAACAATACCTAAAGAGAAGCAAATAAAGATATATATAAATAGTAATATTGTAATAAAAACTATTGGTAGAAGCTTAAAACAAGTAGACAGAAACAAGATTATTAAGAAGAAAAACATAATATGAATAATAAAGATTAAAGATCTTGTCAAGATGAAAAACATTCAGATAGATTTAGTTAAAGTTAAAAGTCATAGCAAAGACAAATAGAATGATAGAGCTAATAGTTTAATAAAGAAAAGAACAATGAGTAGAAAAATAGTACAGACTGAAAAAGTTAGTTGTAAAGAGATAAAGTACTATCTAGAATGAAAAAATATAAGAACTGACATATTAGCAAGATTGCTTTGTAAATTAGTAATAAACACAAGACTAGAAGCAGAGTGAAAAGAAACAAGAGCAGTTAAAAGTTTAGAATCAGATGCAGAAATCACAATTTATGACTAGACTTATTTTTGAAAAAGGCTAAAGACATTGAAAGAAATTCACTGTATAACAAGAAGAAGCAACTCCAAAAGAAGTACATTTATTAAGTACATAATAGATAAACTTCTAAACTTAGAAGAATTCAATAAAAGAAGTCCAGATATATATACAACAGTAGAATGTTAAATATACTAAGATAAAGTAAAAGAGATGTAAGTACACTTGGCAGCATGTAAAGGGCAAAGAAATCTCTAAAAGAGAATCCAAAAAGTAACTATTACAATAGCATGAAAGAAGTTAAAAGAAGAAGAAAAGATTTGGATTTCCTTATATGTGTTATATACAGTACTCTTTAGAAAAACAGAAGCAGAGAAAGTTAAAATAAAAGAAGCACTAATAAAAGGCCTAATCCTAAAAGAAACACAAGACAAACTAGCAAAACTATTAAACATGAGATCAAGACAGCAGTTTGTAAATATAGTAGCAATAACAGCCTGAGACATATTTTATAAACAAGTATAAAGAATACATTGTAAAAAAATGATTAAATGAGAGAAAAAAATTAGAATAACAAATAAAATTAAAAGGAAAAAAGATGGAAAGCTGAAGGAATCAAGAAAATAAAAAATGGCAAATCAGAAAAAAAGAGAAGGAAAAAAAGAAGAAATAAAAAAAAAGAAAAGCAAATTAAGAAAAAAGTAACGAAGATAATATTGAAACTTGTTATGAAAGAAAGAAGACCTTTCTATTATAAACTTTAAGTAGTCAGATGAGTAGCTTATTTTTGTTTGAAGTAATGTACCAGGTTGCACTTAGGTACTATTAAGGTAGCCAGATGATGCTAGACTTAGATATTAGAGATATTTATGTAGTTACAAATATAATTCCAAAAACCTAATAAAGTGCTAGTATGACTGCTTATATAAAAAAAAAAAAAAAAACTATCTTGACAACCATCTGATCAATTTTGATAAATTTTTTTTTATTTGAATTTTATAGATTTACAGAATTCAAATAAAAAAAATTTATCAAATTTGATTAAATAATTGTTGAAATATTTTTAATCAAAGTTTTAATAAAATTTTGATTCAATTTTTATTTTAATAAATATTTTAGTTTTTCAAAAAAATATTTGAGTAAAGATATCTTGACAACCATTTGATTAATTTTAATGCATTTTTTTTTATTTGAATTCAATAAATTCATAGAATTCAAATAAAAAAAATTTATCAAATTTGATCAATTAATTGTTAAAATATCTTTACTCAAAGTTTTAATAAATTTTGATACAACTTTTATTTTAATAAACATTTTAGTTTTTTTTAACTTGACTGAAGATATCTCAATAATTATTTGATAAATTTCAATAAATTTTTTTTATATAAATTCTATGTATTCATAAAATTCAAATAAAAAAATTTATCAAATTTGATTAAATAATTATTAAAATATCTTTACTTAAAGTTTTAAAAAAATTTAGTATACTGTAACTATTTTAATAAACATTTTAATCTTTCTTTGACTTTAAGTAAAGATATCTTGATAACCATCTGATTAATTTTGATGAAAAATTTTTTATTTGAATTCTACATATTCATAATATTGAAATAAAATAAATTTATTAAATTTAATTAAATAATTATCAAAATATTTTTACTTGAACTTTCAAAATTTTAATTTTTTGCTAAAAGATACAAATACCAAATATAAAAAAATACAATACTGGTCTTCTAAATAAATCAATTTAATTTATATATCTTAAAAATTTAATAAAAATTTGTTTTTAAAAAATTTTATTAGTAACATTTTTATTTATTATGTAAATCTAAATTTACTGCGCAGATCATATGGCAAATGATTTACATGTACTCTAATCTTAATGCTGGCCATTTTTGCTATGCACTAAAACACGTGTATGCTGTGTCGGTATATTTCCCTTAGAATAAACGAACTTTAAGGATTTTGTCGATATCATGTGAAGTAAAATTTCTCTGGCGATATTGGGAAGATGTTCGGCTTTCAGAAAAATATAGGTACATCCGGTACATCAAAAATGTATGTTTTGCAAATCCGTTATCGTTATACAGTATACGAGTATCACGTGACCCGGACAAAAATTTAATGTAACAGGGGAATGACAAATGCATTATTCCTTAAAATTATATAACAAATAATCTATATATGCCTTAAGATTATTTAAAATACAATGTTTGAAATACCTTATAAGTATCGAACTAAAACACAACATACAAATAATCAAACCAATAATAATAGTCATTAATTTCACTTATTAGTTTTCAAGAATTAATTGAAGATTTTTATTACATAAATCATTTTTTAATAAATGGGGTAAAGTTATATATTTTTGTAATAGATCACTTACCACAGCCATTGCGACAAATAATTGATCGATCTTCAGGAAGATAATCATACTATCGGAAAAGATCACGTCTTGGAGCTACTAGAATATAATCCTCCAGGGTTTTTAAATACGTGTAAAAAATTGCAATGAATTCCTTTCGGACATTTATTTTTTTCATAATGTCCTATGCAGGCAAACGTTAATGAAATCCATAATATTTGTAACACAACAAAAATAAAACATAAATATCTACCACATATAGCAGATCTCCAATTTGTAACTGGGCAATATTCACATATTAACTGTTTACCAGCATACCATCTTCCTCTAATAGTCCTTAGTGCTTGTTCTGCTTCATATTCCTTAGAAAATTGTACATACACGTTGCCGCGTAAATGCATCTGAAAATTATTGCATACCTAAAAAAATATTGCCAAAATAAATATATTGTATACATCTATTCAATTTATCACATAACAATTTACCTTAAATTGAACAATCGTCCCATATTGTTGGAATTCAGAATGCACATCTTCAAAAAATTCGTGGTAATGGCGTTCCGCTTCTACTTCATCATACTACAAAAAGGTCATCCAATATGAGAGAATGAATTGTTTTTAAAATATTATGTATAACCTTTGTCAAGGACTTATTATAACAAAAAAAATTGATGATTGAATATTTGATTTATAATATTGGAAGGAAAAATCTCATTGATCAAAAGATACAAAAAAAAGTAGATAATCTCATCCTTAGTCCAATCTATCATCTTGAAATTATGAAATGCTCTATAGTTATGGTCTTTGTATGGGATAGAAGACAACAACAGAAAAACTCAAAGATATCTGGAACATACCTCCAAATTATCATCATTGTCTTCATCTGCCAACTGGACTGGCATACCCTCGTACATATTCTTAATTAGAATTGTTACACCCTTATCAGGATATGAATGATGTCGACCGCATGAACTACCATACCGACATGCACCAGTTTTAAGATAAAACGGACAATTGATCTGATCCTGATGTGTTACAAAGATTTGGTCGTAAAATATTAAAAATAAAATAATAGAATGTATGTTGATCCTTAAATTTTCCTCTTATATAACAATGGTTAAATATACAAGATGGGGATGGACATCAAGGTACAATTCAGGATACACTACTTTCTCTGTTCCATAGTCTGACTCTATGGGCGTTGTTTCTTGGAAGGATGTGGTGGTTACAATGGAGGTAGGTGATGACGTCTAATTTATAATTTAGTAAATTAAATTTAACATAGAAAATAATCAATTCAATTAAAATATCTAATAGGTACCAGTGTAGATGAATTCATAATCATTGTTTTGTCTGAAGGCTTGTGCTTTTTTATACTTTTGACTGTCTTTTCCCAGTTTTCCTGATGTAATATAGATGGAAGGTGAGAAAGAACACAATTTTGATAATTGGTAATGTATTAATCACCTGTATTATCTTCTTTTTCCTTTCTTCTTCCTCTTGTTTCCGCTTTTTTTCGGCGTTAACTTGATCAATGTGTCGCTCTCGAGCTTCCCATAGAATTCTTTCAACATTCCTTAACAGTTATGAAATTTAATTGTGAATTATTATATTTATAAAATTTAACAACGTAAAGTAAGTAACTGACAGTTTTATCTCTTCTGCTTTCGTGGATTCGACGGCTTCTTCAGATTGTAAGCGTTCTAAAATTTCAATTATCCTTCATAAATATATATGATTAAAACTTATGTAATAAGATAAATCCATGCCTTGTTTTTGTTCCATGATTTTTGCTGCATCTATTCTTAAAGCTTTTTTACGTTGTTTCTTTTTGAGTTTTCGAAAATCTTTCCGAGCCAATCGCGTGGATTTATACATGGGTGTCAAAAGTATTTTGCTCTTGGCGTAAATTTAAATGGCGCGAAAATGATTTTTGACAATCTAATTTAGTATGTCGAAATATTTTATAAAAATGTCATTTTTGTGATCTCCCATGATAATTAACGTTAACGTTAACCAATCAAAATACATACATTTTAAAATAATTTATCATACGTATACTAAAAACTGGAAACCAGTATAAGTCTGGAGCATAAGTGCATTTTATAATAACTGGTTTTTTAATTAATTTGTATTGTGCAAACCCAAGATAAGTCCTTGTGGTCATAGAATTGGAAAAACCAAAGCCCATTTGAAAAGACCCAAGTAAAGAGGTGACATGCATCTTTGACATTACTATATACTGTAAAGGTTAAACCTAGGAAACGGATATCAACGTGAAGGAATTGAGCAGACAAGAATCTCTAGTTAAGAGGTATCATCAACTAGATTGTTAGGTTTGAACTAAAAAAAAATAATATTAGGTTAGACTTAATATATCAAGACAGGTTATAGTCTTATTAAGTTATTTGAATTGAAGTTTAAAAACAAAGAATATACTAAAATATTAGAAATATGTTGTGAAATAAGTATTATGGTTTGATAAAATCTACAAAGATATAGTTCTATTAATGATCTATAAAGTAAGTAGATTAGTTAACAAAATAGCATTCTGAGTTTTATAGTTAGGTAATATGTTTTGGAATAGTTAACAACCTAACAGATGTATATATAGAAAGAAGATTAAACATTAGATTAAATAACAAAATTAGATATACAAAAATTTAACTAAATAACTCTTTTCAATGATCATCTGAACCAAACTTTCCAAAAAGTTGAATTATAGAAAATGATATAGTTAATATATTAAACTTTATGAAAATCTTTCTAAAGTATTATACATGTATTGTTGGATATTAAAATAGAGTTAAAAAAGAGTTGTAGCCTTGTGATAATAGTTTAAAGAGCACTCTAGGACTATTGAAGAAGTAATTAGTGAAAACCAAAGTTTCTTATTAAATAAACAACAAAGTTGGATATATTAGTTCTATACAATTGTAAAACCTACAAGAAACACTTACAAGGATTAAGAACTTACAAAAGTTAAAAGTTGGTTTACCTAGCACTCTCACTTTTTTTTTAAAGAAAATTTTGTAAAAGTGAATGATTTAGTTTACTCTCTTTTAAAAATTGATATATAAAATTACCAAAACAGTCAGCAGTATTTATTTCCTAAATAGGATTATTTATGATGCAATTCAAAAATAATACAGCAATATAAACATGACTATACATATGTCTCGAGTTGCTAAAAATCTGTCAAACACTGTTTTCAGACTAACCAGTATCCTATACTGACCCTCTATAATAAAGTCAAAGTTTTTTTCTTCTTTTTAGTTTTTAGTTTAAATAATCTAACTAAATAGGAAGATAATAAATTAATTTCTATTTAGTATAGTTTATAATTTTTATAAGCCTGATACAAGCTTATAATTATGGTTATCTTATATCTATAAATTACAAGTTTTATGCCTGACACAGACTTAAAATCATGATCATCTGATTTTGTGAATTGCAAATTTCATGTTTTTCTTTTTTCTCATTTTTTTCTTTCCTTTTTTTATTTCTTGTTTTGTATATTTTATCATTTACTATTATACATCTGTTTTTTTTTTTATATATAAAATCTTTTTTTTTGTTTTTTTGTTTTTCTATGAGAAGATATCATCAAATTGATGGTATTCTATTGTAGAGCAGCAGTCAAATGAGTAGTCTACCTCTGTTTGAGATAGTGTGACAGGTTACACTTAGGTACCAATAAGGTGGCTAGGTAATACTAGACTTAAGTATTAGAAAAATTTTTTGTAATCTGTATAGTATTAAGAATTCTAATAAAGTATTAGCATAACTGCTTAAGTTAAAAAAAAAAAATCTAACTAAATATTTAATAAATAATACTTAAATATACAGAAACTTATAACTATTTGTCTAATACAATATATATAGAAATTAAAATATTTATTAATTTATAAATAATTAATATAAATTATATAATTGATAATTAATAAAATTAATAATAATTTAATTATATTAAAAATTTTTAATTTATATAGTAATAAACTTTAAATTATCTCATATAAATAATTTTTTAATTGTAATTGATAATATAGTATGATGATTTTACCTCTTGCTTATATTGATGATTTACTAATTTGATATTTATATAACTTTTTATTATATTTTTTTTTTTAAATATTAAAGTGAGTACTTGTTACCCAGAATTTTATTGATAGTATATTTGGCTAATGGTTGCATTACAACTACAGGAGCAATTATAGAAAGAGTATACAACTAGCCACTCATATAACTTTAGTCATTGTTTGATTTAAGTAGTTTGCCCAAAAGTTCTACACTAGCTTCTATATTTGAAACCTGCTTGTAAGTTCTCTATTTAACTACTCTGTTTTTATATCCATCCACTTACCTCTACCTATCAATGACACTGGCTGATGCTAGTGAAAATATATTATAGCTACTAAGTCTTTAAAGCAGTTCACTTATATGAGAAACCTTTGACCTTGTACTAAACTTTCAGAATCTTCTGTATTCTATTTTTATAGCAGACCTGATATCGTTATGGCCAAGACCAATACTGGTAGTCAGAGTGTTTCATTAAACTGCTATGCTCGTGTAGAGTTTACCCTAACTCTAGTACTAACTTTACAATATATCCTTACTACTTTGGTATTCAATTCAAGTTCCACCAAGCTGTTATTCCAGATAGTTTGAAAAGATAAGTTAAAACCATATATCTCTGGTTTACATATTTGCTGGCATGTACTCTTTTTCTCTAGAACCTGAAAATTCTGGCAGCCTGGTTGGTTCATTCAGTTTTACTTCAAAGACTAGCATATTTGCTCAGTTTTACAAGTTCTAGCTCTGTTTCATAAGTCTAGTCTTTACAGTAGCACTATCAAAGGTTTGGTTTACTTTTCTACTTGAATCTTCCAAGTGGGCTTCTATCTTTCTACCTAGTTTCTGTAATTTACATAGTCTAAAAACTTATCTTGAGTTCATATCACCTAGTAGCAGTTTGTGTTTTATTGTACAACATTATATAAGTATCTAGACCTTCCAGTTATGCTAGTATAATACAGATTACAGATATCTTATTCCAACTAATCATAGAAGACAGTTAGCCATAATATAAAAAGAATTACAAATTTTTGCTGTTACTGAAATTTGAACTCTAGACCTGTCACTTGGAGATTGACAACCTATTTACTTTACTAGGTTATCATACTTTTATTTTTTATTACATTAATTATATGTTAGTACAATATTGTATTACATTGTTTTTATATATTAAATTTTATATATATATATTTTTTTTAAGATGATCTTTTTGGTCTTTTAGTAATATGATTCTGTAAACTACTACAAAAAAAATATACAATTAATTATATATATAACTTTTTTATATTACCTATTTAAGGAGTTTACTTAAAGATTTCTTATTAATTATTATATTTAACATTTTTGGTTACTGAATTTGCAAACTGTATTAAAATTATTGAGACATGCCAAGGTTATTATTTTAAACTTAAGACTATTTTATCTTTAAAATAAACCTTTTAGAACTTTCTGTATCTATTTTTATAACTAATCTAGTATTACTATAATAGAATTAATATTTATAGTTAGGCTAATCATTAAATTACTATATTCTTGTAAAGTTTATTCAAATTCTAACATCTATTTTATAGCATATTACTAGTATTTTAGTATACTGTAAATCGCTATATAGAGTATCTAGGTATGTTATATTCCACCAATCAAAAACTTATACTGTACCCAGAGGGATACATTATAGGAAAAGAGAATATATTAATAAAAGATATAGTAGTAGAAGGTATATAAGCAGAAGATTTGATTATTGATCTTGATTTAATTGCAATAGCACATTTTGTAAAAAGTAATAATTTATTATAATTTATAAGTAGCAAATAAATGTATTTAGTATAAATAAGTTTAAGCAATCTAAGTTTTCAATTTATAAAAAAAAAAAAACTTATTTTATTAGAAATTTGTATTAAGCAAAAAAAAAAATTTGAAGCCTTATTTAGATAACCTGGTACCTTAATCTTAAAAAATTATTTTGTTAAAACCATTTTATATACACTTTAAGCCTTTAGAGCTTTATAAAAAAAAATAATAATAATAAAATAAAAACTATAAATATTTAGTCCAATACTTTTTTTAAAAAAAGTTTAGTCCAATATCTCAATTTAAAAAAAAATTTTTTTTTAAAAAAAATTTGAGAATAATAGTACAACATAGAAACAATTTTAACTAATCAAATATTACTAAAAAAAAAAAAAGTTAGAATGTTCATAAAAAACTAGCTATTATTATGTATATAGAAAAAAATTCTAATGTTAGTAAATAACATATTACAAAATGATTTAGTATACAACCAGCTTAATTGCATAATTGGATTAAAAAAAAAACTAGCTAATAAGTTTACCACCACATATTAGGTAATTAAATGCTAGAAGATATGCAAAAACCCAGTATTGGAGACTAATCTTGTATCTTGGATAAAATTCTTATATGCAAAACAAAAGATAGTATCTTGATATATAGTCAAAACCAAGGCTCAACAACTAGTTAAACAAATATACTATATCTCACTTTATCCAAATATTCACAAATGCAAATGGAGTAATAAGTAGTTAGATGGATTTATGAACTGTTATCAACTAAGCAACTATTACCGAATTACTATTTTACAAAATTACCAACTGATCTTAAACAGCAAAAAAATAAATTTTTAAATTTTGTACTATATAGACATATACAACATAATTATCCTCTTATATTAATAGGCAACATAGATAAAACTCTATTGTTTTTTAATATGTTATTAAATTATACTATTGATAAAACTGATACCAAAATGATCAGAATTTATACAACAGGATATGAAAAGTCTAATT